TTATATTTTTCTTCCTCCTCTCTGCATCCCTCCTGTTTGTTCACTGTATTTCTGCGTCCCTGCATTGTCTATCATTGGCTGTCTACTCACTCGCCCCTTCTCTCTTCCATCTTTCATCTCGCTCTCTCCGTCTTGTCCTCTCTCTCCTGTCTCCCCAGCCCCCCGTTTCCCCCCCCCCACCACCCCACCCCCCCCCCCCACCCCCCCCCCCCACCACCCTCTCATATCTCGCTACTATCTCTCTCTGTCTCTAGTCCTCTCCTTCTCATAGTAGTGTTGTGTGTGTGTTGTGTGTTGTGTGTGTGTGTGATGTGTGTGTGTGTGTGTGTGTGTGTGTGTGTGTGTCTTCTCTCTTCTCTTACCTCTCTCTCTCATCTCTCTCTCTCTCTCTTCTCTCTCTCTCTCTGGTCTCATCTCTCTCTTCCCCCCCCCCCTGACTTCTCTCGCTCTCTCTCTCTTCTATCCTCTCTCTCTCTCTCTCTCTCTCTCTCTCCCTCTCTATCTCGTCTCTCTCTCTCTCCTCTCTCTCTCTCTCTCTCTATTCTCTCTCTCTCTCTCCCTCTCTCTCTACCTCCCTCTGCTCTCTCCTCTCTGCTCTCTCCTCGCTCTATCTCTCTCTTCTCTCTCTCGCTCTATCTATCTCTCTCCTCTCTCTCATTCCTCTCCCCCCCCCCGCCCCACCCCCCCCCCCCACCCCCCCCCCCGCCCCACCCCTCTCTCTCTCTCTCTCTCTCTCTCTCTCTCTCCTCTACTATCTCTCGCTCTCTCTCTCCTCTCATCTCTCTGCCTCTTTCCTCTCTCTCTCCTACTCTCTCTCTCTCTCGCTTCTCTATCTCTCTCTCTCTCTCTCTGAGGCCTCTTTCTCATCTCCTCCCTATCTTCTCTCTCTTCATAGCTCATATCTCATCTCTCTCTATCGTCTATCTCTCCTGTCTATCCTATCCCTCTCTCTCTCTCTCTCTCCTCTATCTCTCTCTATCTCTTCTCTCTTATCTAATCCTCTCTAGCTCTCGTCTCTACTCTCTCGTCTATGTCTCCCTCTCTCTATCTCTACTCTCATCTCTCTCTGCTCTCTCTTCTCTCTCTCTCTCTCTCTCTCTATCTCTGCCTCTCCTCGTCCTCTCTCTGTATCTCTCTCTCTCTCTCTCTTTCTCTACGTCTCTCGTCTCACGCTTCTGCTCTCGTCTATCTCTCTCTCCTCTCTCTCTCTTCTCTCTTACTGTCATCTGTCTGTCTCTTCTCTGTCCTCTGTCTCTCTCCTCTCTCTCTCTATCTCGTCTGCACTCTACTCTCCTCTCTCGCTTCTCTCTTCTCTCGCTCTCTCTCTGCTCTCTTGAGTGTGTTGTGTGTGTGTGTGTGTGTGTGTGTGTGTGTGTGTGTGTCGTGTGTGTGTGTGTGTGTGTGTGTTCTCTCTCTCTCCTCTCTATCTCTCTCTCTCCTCTCTCTCTCTCTCGTCCTTCTCTCCGTCTCTCTTCTCTCTCTCCTCTCTCTCTGTCTCTCATCTCTCATCCTCTCTCTCTCTCTCTCTCTTATCTCTCTCTATATATAGGAAAAACTCTCTCCTCCCTTCTCTCTCCTCTCTTCTTCTCCTCTACCCTCTATCTCTCTCTCTTCTATCTATCTCTTTCTCCCCCTCTTCTCATCCCCTCTCTTCTTCCGCTCTCTCTAATCTCTCTCTCTGCTCTACTCCTTCTCTCTCCTGCTCTCTCTATATCTCTATCCTCTCCTCCTCTCCCATCTCTCTCCTCTTCCTCCCTCCCCGCCCCCACCCCCCCCCCCCCCCCCATATCCTCTCCTCTTCTCTCTCCTCTCTCCTCTCTCTCTCTACTCCTCTACTCTCTCTACGCTCTCTCTCTCCTCGCGCTCACTCTCTCCTCTCATCTCTCTCTCTATCTCTCTACTCTCTCTCTCTCTCTCTCTCTCTCTCTCTCTCTATCTCTCTCTCTTGTCTCTCTTCCTCTCTCTCAATCTCTCTAATCTCTCTCTCTCTCCTCTCTCTATTCTCCCCTCTCCTCTCGTCTCTCTCTTCCTCTCTCTCTTCTCTCCTCTCTCTCTCTCTGTTCTCGCTCTCTCTCCTCTCTCATCTCTCATCTCTTATCCTCTATTCTGCTGTGTGTGTGTGTGTGTGGTGTGTGTGTGTGTGTGTGTTGTGTGTTGTGTGTCGTGTGTGTGTTGTGTGTGTGTGTGGTGTGTGTCTCTCTCTCTCTCTACTCTCACTCTCTCTCTCTCTCTCTCTCTATCTCTCTATCTTCTCTCTCTCTCTGTCCTCTCTCTCTCTCCCTCTCTCCTCTGTCTCTCTCTTCTCTCTCTCTACTCTCTCTCTCTCCTCTTTCCTCTCTTCACGTCTCTCTCCTCTCTCTCTCTCCCTCTCTCTATCTCTTCGCTATCTCTCTCTCTCTCTCTCTCTTCTCTCTCCCTCTCTCTCTCCCTCTCTCTCTCTCTCTCTGTCTCTCTCTCTCTCTCTCTCTCTCTCTCTCAATCTCTCTCTCTCTATCTCTCCTCTCTCTACATTCCTCCCCCCACCCCCCCCCCCCCCCCCCACCCCCCCCCCCCCCCCCCCCCCCCCCCCTTATCTCTCTCTTCTCTCATCTCCTCTCTCTCTCTCGCTCTCTCTCCTCTCTCTCTCTCTATCTTCCTCTCTCTCTCTCTCTCTCCTCTCTCTCTCTCTCCTCTCTCATCTCTCTCTCTCTCTTCCTCTAGTCTCCTCTCTCTCTATCTCTCTGCCTCTATCTCTCTGCTATCTAGCTCTCTCTTATTTCTCATCTCTTCTCTCTACTCTCTCTCTCCTCTCCCTCTCTCCTCTTCTCATTATCTCCTTATCTCTCTCTCTCTCTCTCTCTCTCTCTCTCTCTCTCTGTCTCTCTCCTCTCCCCCTCTCTCTCTCTTCTCACATCTCTCTCTCTTTTATCTCTCTCTTCTCTCTCCTCCGCTCTCGTATCGCTCTCTCTCTCTCTCTCTCTCTGTCTCTCTCTCTCTCTCTCTCTCCTCTCTCTCTCTCTCTCCTCTCTCTCTCTCTCTCTGCTCTCTCCTCTCTCTCTCTCCTCTCTCATGTCCTCTCTATGTCTCTCTTCTCAATCTCTCTCTTTCTCCATCTCTCTTCTCTCTCTCTCTATCTCTCTATTCTCGTCTCTCTCTCTCTCTCTCTCTCGCTCTGTCTCTGTCTGTCTCTCTCTGTCTCTCTCTCATCTCTCTCTCTCTCTCTCTCCTTCTCTCCTCTCTCTTCTCTCTCTCTCTCTCTATGTGTGTGTGTTATGTGTGTGTTGGATGTGTGTGTGTGTGTGTTTTGTTTGTGTGTGTGTGTGTGTGTTGTGTGTGATTGTGTGTGTTCTCTCTCTTATCATCTCTCTCTCTCTCCTCTCTCGTCCTCTCTTCTCTCTCTCTCTCTCCTCTCTCTCTCTCTTCTCTCTCGCTCATGTCTCTCCTCTTATACTCTCTTCTCTCTCTCTCTATCTCTCTCTCGTCCTCTCTCTCTCTCTCTCTCTACTCTCTCTCTCCTCTCTCTCGTCTACCCCCCTCTCTCTTCCCTCTATCTCTTCCTCTCTCTCTCTCTCTCTCTCTCTCTCTCTCTATCTATATCTCTCCTCTCATCTCTCCTCTCTCCTCCTCCCATCTCTCCTTCCTCCCCCCCCCCCCCCCCCCCCACCCCCCCGCTCTCTCTCTCTATCTTCATCTCTCTCTCTCGCTCTATCTCTCTCTCTCTCTCTCTCCCTCCTCTCTCTCCATCTTCTCCTCTCTCTCTCACTCTCTCTGCTCTCTCTCTCCTCTGCTCTCTCTCTCTCTCTCTCGCTCTCTCTCTCTCTCTGTCTCTCTCCCCTCTACTCTTCTCGCTCTATCTCTCTCTCTCTCCATTACCTCCTCTCTCTCTCTGTCTCCTTCTCTCTAGACTCTCTCTCCTCTCTCCTCCTATCCTCTCATCTATCTCCTCTCTCTATCATATGCCTATCTCTCTCTCTCTCTCTCTCTCTTATCTGCTCTCTCTTTCTCTCTTCTCCTCTCTCTCTCTCTCTTTCTCTCTATCTCCTCTATCATCTCCTACCTCTCTATCTCTCTCCTCTCTCCTCGCTCGTCTCTCTCTCAATCTCTATCTCTATCTCTCCACTCTATATACTATCTACTCTCTGTATATTCTATCTATCCTCTATCTCTCTCTATATCTGCTCTCTCTACTCTATCTATATCCTCTATATCTCTCGCTCTGTCCTCTCTCTGTATTCTCTCTATACTCTCTCTAATTCTATCTTCCTAGCTATCCTATCTTTCTCTCCATCTCTCCATCTCTCTACTCTCTCTCCTGTCTATCCGTCTCTCTCTCTCTCTATATCTCTCTCTCTCTCTTATCTATCCTGTTAATATCGATATATAATGTATTTGTGTGTGTGTGTGTTTCTATAATTCTCCTCTCAATCATACTATAATATAGCAATCTATATCTCTGTCTCATCAAAGCTCTCTTAATCTAAAACAAATATATCTTTCTCTCCTATCGCGCTCGTCTTATTCTACGTGTATATATATCTCTGGTATGTGTCTCTCCTCTCTCCCATCCTCTCCTCTTCTACTCTCTCTCTCTCTCCTTCTCTCTCTCTCATCATCTCTCTCTCTCTCTCTCTCTCGCGTACGCTCGCTCGAATCGCCGCTCGCTCGTCGCTTCCTCTCTCTCTCTCTCTCTACTCTCTCTCTCTCTCCTCCTTCTCTCTCTCTCTATCTCTCTCTCTCTCCCTATTCTCTCTTTCTATCTCTCCTCTCTCTATCTACTCTCTCTCTCATCTCTCTCTCTCTCTCTCTCTCTATCGCTGCCTTTCTCTCTACTCTCTCCACCCTCCCCTCTTAGCCCGTCGGCCTCCCCCCTCCTCCCCCCTCCTCCTCGCTCTCACCCCCATACCCCTTTCTTCCCCCCCCCCCGCCTTTCCCCTCCCCTACACCTACCCAACACCGCACCCCCCTGCCCCTCCCTTCTCAAATCCCGCACCTCCTCCAGCCCCCCATGTCCGCGCCTTAAGGTCAGCCACACCAAATCCACTGGAGCACCACACCTAGAACGCACACATCACAATCGCCATACCCTAACCTGACGCACACCAAATGCCACCACACAACAATCCAGCATCACACCATCGTCCCACATCACTTTCACCACACCGCCGTCACCTCACAACAATCACTACATCATCACATCACACCATCCACACATCAGCGTCACTCACCATCAGTACCTCACCATCACAACACACCATCACCTCAACATCAGTACAATTCACCATCACAACACTACATCACCCCATCATCATTACCACATCATAACCTACACCATCACAGCACCATCATCACCACACCAGCGTCACCTCAGCATCCTAACTGCTCACCATCACAACACCATCACGACACCACCATCACCCCACCATCCATTACTTCCCCATCACAACCCCATCACCAACACCACGCATCACCACAACCAGCTTACTTCACCATCACAACCCCTCACCACACCACCATCACCCCACCATCATTACTTCACCATCACAACACCATCACGACACCACCATCACCCCACCATCATTACTTCACCATCACAACACCATCACAACACCACCATCACCCCACCATCATTACTTCACACCATCAACAACACCATCCACAACACACATCCCACCACCATAATTACTTTCACCATCACAACACCATCACCACCGCGTCAAAACACCACCAACACCCCCACACATCCCCTTCATCAGCTCTCTTCTCGCCGAATTCCATTTCCTAAGGCATATCCAAAAGCCGGCCCACGGAACTCATTCGCGGAATCGAGAAGACACCTAATTTCGACTCAATCTCCAAAAAAAAAAAAAAAAAAGGCGCGCACAGACAGGCTAAAATGGCGGATATAAATATGCGACTATTTATGAATTTTCTCTGTGTGTACAGCTGCCACTCTGAGGTGACTTGCGATCATTAATCGGTGGAAATTCGGTACAAACTGGCGGAGAATAGAGTTCTACGAGTACGCGTCGAGGTATTTATATATAAAAGAGGACTAAATATGTAAATGCGTTGGAAGAATCGTTGGATATTACAACATGCGATGCTAAAACAATTTGATTTTGAACGTTCTCTGCGAAGAATGTCAAAAAAAAAAATTTTTAATTTATATAGATAAATGTCGGTACTTAAAGAATTAATATGCAACATCGTATTTAATATTTTCGCTACCCCAACCCCCCCTTCCCGCCCCCGTAAATAGATTTCGCGGACCAAAGAAAATCGCAAATTTTTATGATATTAGGAGTCGAGCGCCAGAAGTCCCGCCGTCACTGAAAAGTGTCAACATTTCACTAGCTCTGAGACTAATTCGCAAACATTTTCGGTATGATATATCTCAGAATTTAGAGACACTCTTCAAGCTTTCGATGTTTCTTTGTTAAAGAATATTATTGCAGTTTTTTTTTGTTTTTTTTAATATTATACAAGATGTAATAAAAAGAGTAGACTTATATAAGGGGGGATTTGTTTAGAATATTTTCCACGATGAATAGAGTTGTGATACCTTTCTTAAATGGAGAACTGTAGAAAGTTGTAAGATTTTAAAAGGTTTTAGGGTAATTATTTAGTCTTTGGGTTGATCCGGTGCCTTTAGTGAATAAATGTATTGTACAATGTCTCATACATTCATTAACATAGGTACATATATAAACTCAATTAATACGTATGAATGTCAAAATACCATACTCCACAACCCCAAGGCATTTTACATTATTTACCACTCCCGCCTCCATAATTCTTACAAGGACACGCACTTCACAAACGTACCAGATTGTTATATTTGATTTTGCATATTGCCATGGACACTCCCCAGTTTGCCCTTTCCTGCATTATTGTCCCCTCCCCCTCACCCCTCTCCCCCCCTTCCCTAAAAATTACCCCCCCTAACTCCCCTTACATATTTCCTACCCCCTATTACTCCGTCGCTAGCCCTTTCCCTTCCCAACCCCTCCCCTATCCCCTCCAAGCAATCCCCGTTACCATAATGCCACACTCCCCTTACCCCCCCTTACCCCCACCTCCCCCACCACCCACCCACGCCCCCCCCCCTCCCCAACCTCCCCCACCACCCACACACCCTGGCGACATTTCTCCCTCGTAACCCCTGACAGCAGCCAATTTCCCCCCTCCCCATTCCCCTTCCCTCCCTTCCCCTCCCCTTCCCTCCCTTCCCCTTGCCCTCCCCTCCTCTCCCCCTCCCCCCTCCCTCCCCTCGGGCCAAGATAGTCGCGTTCGAAGCCAGAGTCGCTTCGGGATCGAGCAGGATTCGAGTCACAAGCCTTCTCCTCTTTCCTTCTCGCCCTCCCCCCCACCCCCCGCTCCCTCCCCCCCATCCTCCTCTCTCCTCCCTCCCCCCCCCCATTCTCTTCTTCCTACCCTTACCTTGCCTTTCCCTACCCTTTGACACCTTGCCTTTAATTCCCTTTCCCCTTCCCCCCTTTTCCTTCCCCTCCCTTCCTTTCC